TTGTTTGTTTGTTTGTTTGTTTGTTTGGAGGGGCAGACCACCTTTCTTCTGACTTGGAATCTGAGGGAAATCGGTGACGCCAATTGCAAATGCGGGTTGACTCTGGAGGAACCATTGCCACATGCTGTGGCCCGGATCCCTTCCCGTCAGGAGGCATGCAGCCTCTGGCTGTGCTGACTCCATGCTAGTTAAAGGAAAGGCTGTTGAACTGTTCTGCAGAGGGCGTGCCGGGGTTGTCTGGTGCCACGTCCTCTGCCGTGATAGGGCCACGGGGGAAATCTTGTTCGTCGTCGGTGCCCCCGCCCGTGGCACAGTGCTGTGGCGGCAGGCTGGGGAGGATGGGCTTCAGGAACTTGAACTCGCTGTTGCCCGAGCCCGTCGTGAGGCTGATCTCGTAGCAATAGGCGTGGGGCAGGGTCCCCGCAGTGGCTGCATCAGCCAGGCTGCTCTGCAAGTTGCCAGTGCCGTAAAGCACATGCCCACCCTTCAGCTCCTTTCTCTTGCACACCTTATGAGCGATGAAGGCTGCTGTGGACGCGAGGAAGAGGAGCGAGACGAAGACCAGTGAAATGATTAAATAGGTTGTCAGGGAGCCGCCCTCGTCCTCCGTGGCCAGGCTGCTGTGCCGTAGGCGCACATCTGAGAAGTCATTGAGCAGGAGTGCGCTCAGCGCCGCGGTGGCCGACAGCGGTGGCCGCCCGTTGTCTCGCACCAGGACGACGAGCTTCTGCTTCACGGCGTCCCTCTCCGTCACTGGCCTCCTCAGCCGCACCTCCCCGCTTTGGGCACCCACCGCAAAGAGCCCGGGGTCGGTGGCCCTCAGCAGGTGGTACGAGAGCCATGAGTTCTGCCCCGAGTCGGCGTCGACGGCCACCACTTTGGTGACGAGGTACCCCGCCTCAGCCGACATGGGCACCAGCTCGCTGGAGGGTGGGCTGCTGTCCTGCGCGGGGTGCAGCACCAGCGGCGCATTGTCGTTCTCGTCCACCACGACAAGGCGGACAGTGACGTTGGCCCTGAGGGGAGGTGACCCCGCATCGGAGGCGCTCACCAAGACCTCGATCTGCCTCACCTGCTCGTAGTCCAGAGGCCGCAGCACAAACACGTGCCCGTTCTCAGAGTTCACAGAGAGGCAGGAGCAGGGAGGCCGCTCTGCAGAGTGGGCTGGGGCCAGGAAATAGGTCACCTTGGCATTGGGCCCCACATCAGCATCCGAGGCGCTGACGGCTCCAACGAGCGCCGTGGGGACATTGTTCTCACGCACGTACATGGTGTACGATGTCTGGTTGAAGACAGGTGCATTGTCGTTGACATCGGAGACGTCCACCGTGAAGGTCTGGGTCGTTGTGAGAGGAGGTGACCCTGCGTCTGCAGCCGTGACAGTGAGGACGTACCGAGCCGTCTCCTCCCGGTCCAGAGCGCTCACGGTCACCAGCTCGTAGTAATTCTTATAGGCCGGCCGCAGGGAGAACAACAGCTGGTCCTCAAGGGCACAGGAGATCTTCCCGTTGGCACCGGCATCCCGGTCCCTGACGGTAAAGAGGGCGACCACTGTCCCGGGTAATGCGTTCTCGGGGAGGGGGCTGCTGAAGGAACTGACCACCAGCTCCGGTGCATTGTCATTCACGTCCACCACCTCCACCAACACCTTGCAGATTGCCGAGAGGCCCCCGCCGTCTGTGGCCCGCACACTGAGCTCGTGATTCTCTGCCGCCTCAAAGTCCAGAGGCTTCGTGAGTTTAATTTCACCGCTCGTGGGGTCAATTGCGAATGCCGAGGGGCTCTGGCCCACTGCTTGGCTGAACTGATAGGCGATGTCCCCGTTAGCTCCCACATCCCGATCGCTTGCCACCACGCTGAGAACCACAGAGCCCTCTGGCGCGTTTTCCAAAACCTGCCCAACGTACA